TTTTGACTTAAGGTTCTGTAAAAAAAAAAAACAGACATTTTAAATTATATGGCATAGGTACCTCAGCAAATACTTCTAAAATACTGCCTGTACTACACTTTTCCCATCATAATAAAGCTTGCACTAGAATATTTGCTATTATCCAATAATCCAATACTTGTCAAACCTACAGTACTATCAAATAGGGCCGTTCAATGAAATTTCATTAGCACGGTTTTTCACATTTTCATGGGGTATTACTCACTTATAGCACGTAGAAAAAATTCAGCTTAATTGGATAACTATTGAAAGAGTTACGCGTTTTTTAATATTAAAACACTTTTGCCTCGGAAATTCATTGCTGTGACGTCATAGCATCTCTCGAGTCGAGACCGGCTAAAGGCCGTCACACACGGTTTTGCATAACGCAATGTCAACTGATTTTCTACTGACAGTTTGGCACACAGTTTGCGGAACTATGCAATATTTATAATTTTTCGTTTTGCATGCTACTTCCAAAATAATTGTGCTCATAAAATATTGAAACTCAGGGAATTATTCAAATATACGAAATGTGATTCGAAAGAAAAACATCCAGTTCTACCAGAAACATGAAATGCCAAACTGAAACTTGTCTAAACGATACTAAACCAAAACTTGTCGAAACAATGCCCGTATTGTCGAAGTGACTGGCGTACCAGCACCACAAGGACCAACGTGAGAGATACGGTGACGTCACCGCGTGTTTCAAATTTAGAGTATTTTGATAATTTATTTAAATATGAACAAGGGCTCAGAAAACTATGAAATTTTGCATAACTGCTAAACTCAACACGCTCTTTTAGAATATGTAATAAAAAAAATATGCTGTACGAGCCTATTAAAGACACTTCTACACTATTTCCAAATCCAAGCGGTAGTAAATGACATGACAATAACCCATCAAATTGTAAACAAACACCAGCATTCCCATTGGTTGAAATACCCTACCTGGACCAGTGCGCATGCAGGGAGGACATTTGATAGGTTGTAATGAAAATGAACAGTTTGTCATTTACTGCCGCTTGGATTTGGTTCAACTATAGATAACTTCACTACAATAATTTAATGAGTTTCGAAAACGTAGCTAAGTATTTTTTCAAAATTTTGTATGGTAAGCCATCATTTACAGGCGTTCCAAATAAACAATATGTCGTGCGCACATCTATTTCATACCTGTAAATCTGATATAAGGAATTTGCCACTCACAAAGGATGCATTTCATCAGCAAAATCAAATCAGCATGTGCCTACTATTAAGAAAGAGCTGAAGATTTGCCTATGGAATAATTGTGTGGAAGAGTGCGATTCTAATAAATCCAGAAATTCCCAACCCAGTTAATTTTGGTTGGGATCTGAAAGATAATAAAATTAACCACAATAAGTATCGTTAGCGATGTAAGATTCGAAAATGGTGCTGCAAATGCAAACTCCAGATATGCACTAGAAACGAAACAAATACTTACTTTGCAATGAATAAAAGTGAGTATTAGCTTTAACTAAAAATTCAATTAGTAAAAGCTATAGTTTTTAGCATTGTCTTTAAATGGTGTGAATAAAAGTAAGCAATTCCTAATTATATGAAGGAAAAGCTTACATTTTTGCAAGCCTGGTAAACCTTGGCTTAAACATTTTATAGTTGTGTTTAAAAGTTTCAAAGTTTGGCAGAAATGGCTGCGTTTGAATATGAGGTCTGCGAAATTTTATGCCGAAAGAAAAGAAAGTCGTGCCAAAGAATATCACATTCTGTCAAGTCAAGGTTGGCTGAAGATTTTCTCCTACTCCAACACACCACTTATAGATTTGTCTGAATCACTGTTCATTTTCACCTTGAAGCGCTGGCGTTCGATACCGCTACTTGTTTAAAATGGGCACCTACGTTGACCAGCACTCAACTGTTACCAACAGTTGAGTAGTGGGGAAAAGGAGAAACAATAGCGTTCAGCGGCGCTCAGCAAAAGCCGCTTTTTGTCAGCTGCTGCCGATTTTTCTAAGCGGTAAAAGTTTAGGCTCACCAACTCAACTTATGCTATAGACATGCGCAGAAGTGTCGTGCGTTCAGGAAATTTACTTCCGCTGTATCTCAACTATCCTCAACTGCTTTACGCTGCAAGTTAGCGGCTGAGTACTGATGAACGTACCCAATTATTGACTCCTTCCAGTGTTTTCACGCCGCCGGTCATAGCTTTGTTCGAACACATCAAGAAACCGCCAATGTATACCGTCATGATTCTGCGCAAAGTCAAAAAAAGTTGCGTAGAACCCGAAATTCGTATACAGAGTGGTTTCTAGACCATTCATGGGACTGTTTTTGACTTGTTGAAACAAACCTCATATCATTCCGGTTCATAAAAATATAAATATCGGCGTTATCAGTATAAAAACTTGCAAACACACTTTTTGAGAATGCTGTAGATACTTCTCGAAATCTCCGTACTTTCAGTAAACGCTTGAAATATCTAGCTTTTGCTAGTAAGTAAAAGGAAAAGGTTATTCACTTCAATTTCAGCAAATGCTATTAGCAAAAGCTAAATCTACCTAGTAAAAGCTAAAGCTATGACTTTATACTAAAAGTGAAAGCTTAGTTTTTATTCACACTGCCCAAATCAACTTATTTACTTCTTATAAATAGCTAAAATCTCAGGCATGGTGGCAGAAGATCCAAAACTTGAATGAATATAAAAAAATTACATTATTGTTTTGGAATTATATTTTTGGAGAGTCAAGAAGTTAGCGATTTCTTTGTTTTTGAGTTGTTAGCTATTCAGCCGAATCACGAAGCTGTAGTTAAATTTTCAGATTATCTCATTGACAGTTACATATCAGAGGAATCGCTATTTCCACCGTTTATATGATGCCTCGGTAGACCTGGATAAAGCCCGGGACACATCTATTAAGCCCGGGACACATCTATCATGCATTCTTCCGATCCGACTCCGATCATACAATCAGGGTCCTTATTCTTGGAACAGGGAGCAGCGTTCCCAGGAGAACGAGTGTTCCGCTGCTCCCCTGTTCCAAGAATAAGGACCTTGATTGTATGATCGGAGTCGGATCGGAAGAATGTCTGATAGATGTGTCCCTGCCTTTATGCATGCTTCCGATCCGACTCCGGTCATACAATCAGGGTCCTTATTCTGGAAATAGGGAACAGGGTTCCCAAGGAGAACGAGTGTTCCGCTGCTCCCCTGTTCCAAGAATAAGGACCTTGATTGTATGATCGGAGTCGGATCGGAAGAATGCATGATAGATGTGTCCCTGGCTTAAGACAACAAATGCCAGTGAATCTTCCCAAAGTCATTTTAATAGATCTTTTTATTCTGCGCTTACACTTTTCTAGATGTATTAACTCAAAGGCAATGCGAAATCGGCCAACACCATAAGGTAAGTTTTATTGGCAGTAGGTTGGGTTTTATGGTTTGGCCGCTTTCAAGTGTCATAAAAAAGGTCCTCGGCCGAATTCAAGGGTAGGATTACTGCAGTTACCTGGTTTGGGGCCGAATTCAAGTATGCCCCTTTGTCAACTGCCTATGGATTTGACAATATTCTGTAAAACGCTTCTTTGGAATGTAGAAAGTAAGGTTGAAAAATCAGTAATGCATAAATTCCCTACATCCTAAATAAAAATTCAAGTTTTTCTTAAATTATTCAAAAACCACGCCAGCAAAATTGGTTGAAAGAACCATATCACTTTTCTTTTATTCGACATAAGAACGTGATTTTCCATATTTTTCTCGTAGTTAACTGATGTTACATCCATCATTCATTATTATGCGTGGCTTATTATCATTAAAAAGCTCGGAATACGATGACGTTATCGTTTATTTGTAGATATAATTAGTAACTGTTTTGCACTATTTATTAACGTAGTTGCTTCGGCTAATTCGTGAAATTGCTTGTAAAAGTCTTTATTTGAAACGTTTTTATCTCCGGAAAATACGGCACAGTTAAATCATTAGATTTTTGGTCCTTTGAGACTGAGGATGAAAACTTGAATCAACGTTTGTAATAAAAAGTACCTAACCATTTTCAAAAATTTTTCAAATATAATGCTTTATAGATTAAGAGTTTATGACCTAAATCGAGTTTTTCACTGTTTTGGGTCCGCAAATAGAAAAACATTTAGTGCGCTTGAAACGATATTGATTGTTGATAATCATAGAAATGCTAAAATTCTAAATTCACACCCTTTTAATTATGTACTTACACCAAAACTGGTGCCTGCCGATTTGAGTCAAGCATATTCAAGATCAGTACCTAGTATTCCTTTTTTCGGTGTCATGTGTTGTCCGTGTAATGTTTTTCATTTGCACAAGTATGTATCTCTTGCAAACACATTCTCTAATAACATTACTCAGTAACTTCTAGATATGTAACATTTATAAATTATGATTAATTAACTGGCGCACTTTGCACCGTCTATATAAGATTAATTACACAGTGATTCTATTTGAAATATATTTGCTATAAAGAATCATAACTTTCCATGATGGTAAACGAGTATTTAAAAAAACTAAGAAATTGAAATAGTTTTTGAGAATGTTAATTTTTATTAACACAAACCAGTCTGAGCGTTTTTGATTGGTGCAAATCGCCAACAAAAAGTTTGCTGACTATTTTCAACCAATGAAATTCGCTCTGAATGGTTGGTGATTTCAGTGAGAACAGACCCTCCTATTGTCATCAACACTTGACCTTTTTTTTTCTGAATGCTTTCTCAAAAGTACCGCTCGCTATCAACGACCCATAGTAATTTCCTATATACAGGGTGTCCTGTATTGTGTGTTCAAAGTACCATTTTATTGAGCGTTAAATTGCGTAACTTTTTCCTGATCTAACCAACATTGTAACTCCAACCGTTCTCCAGATCCTAATGCTATTCCATCCTTATCTTGGTCACACTGTATATGTATCTTTCATATACCTATTAATAAATTCACATCTCATATATGTAGGTATTTTATGATAATTTTGTATTTTCAGGTGTAGTCTTACTAGATAGAAGACGAAATGAGAAAGCAATGGACAAATTCAAACTGGTTCCACCTGACGGCGGATGGGGTTGGTTGGTCCTTTTTGGAGCGACCATGGTTAACATTCTGGTTCCTGGTACAATCAAGTCGTTCGGAGTACTGCTGGTAGAATTTACTGAAGCCTTTGAAGCTACTCCTTCAGGAGGAATGTGGATTCCTGCGCTGTGTTATTTTTTATATAGTTCCTTAGGTAAGCAAGAATTTAGATGACAGTAGGCATATTTAGAAAACAATGGGAAACTGAAAGTAGCTTTAATGCAGATCTTATAAGCGACATCACTATTTATTACCGTCTTATAATTGTCTGCGTCCTGTTAAATGATTAACAAACACTTAAGAAACAATGGAGTGTACAGATAGGTACTTAATAACTACTTAACTAATATTTTTTTATTGTCAGTTTCATACAGCTCAAGGTATTTGGATTTTTATTCTACTTTTTCATAGATTCCAAGATCATAATGACATAGTTAGGATTTAAATCGAAAAAAATTAACTGCCCAGCTATAAATAATAAGACCTTAACATAAAAAAAAAATCTGACCTAAAAGAATTGACCAAACTTGTGCATAGGATTCTATGCAAAATGGCTAGTTATTATAAAATAACAGTAAAGTCAACGTGATAGTAATTTCCTTTTTCTATTTCAGGTCCAGTCTCCAGTATTTTTTCAGTAAAATATTCATATAGGACAGTAACATTCCTTGGTGGCATTTGCGCTGCAGGAGGCATGATGCTAAGTTTTTTTGCTACCTCCCTACCATTTCTTTATTTCACTTATGGAATTCTAGTTGGATGTGGTGCAGGGCTTTCCTTCCCTCCCACCGTTTATATCGTTACCAGTTATTTTGTAAAATTGAGAGGAGTGGCAAATGGAATATGTATATCTGGCTCAGCATTCGGGTCAATTCTATTACCACCACTCTTACGATTCCTTTTGGAAAACTATGGCTACAGAGGATCATGTTTAATCATGGGTGGGATAACACTAAATGTGTTTGTTGCGGCCCTTTTCTATGAGCCCGTGGAAAAGCATTTTAAAAAAGAGAAAAAACAAGATGACACTGTGGAAGAAGTTCCAGAGCCACCCCAAACTAAATTTCTGTTTAACGAAGATAGTATGACTTCCTTATCTCAAATACCTCATAACGACTCGTTTTTGGCACACCCCGAATTATCTGACGTTGGATTTAATAGAAGCGCCTCAAGTGCAGCAGTACAAAATCTCAAAACTACCCACAGAGAACGAAAGATCAGCATGCCTACTGGAAAACACGAAGTACAAAAGTATAAGCAGGGATACGCAGGATCGAAACATAATATGAATAGTAATATGGCTTTGCATGCAGTGCCTGAAGGGCAGAATGGAAACGGAGATGCTGACTTTTCACATGGACGGTTTCCCAGTACTAGAAGAAATACAAGACCAGGTAATGTTTAATTTCAATATTCTATTCCAATTTTGGTAGTTTTTTAAACCAAATCGCAACCAAACCATGTTTCAAATTATGCACCAATTTTAGCGTTAATAATATCTCAAAATATTGAACGAATCGTTGGCTAATTGGCTTGAAAACTACTACTATCCTTTTCATTATTTATTAATTATGAACTCATAAAATTGATTTGGAATTTCGATATGGGGCTTAATTGTTATGACTCGGAAGTGTACGCTAAGAATACTTATTGAGCACACTTGAACAAATACGGAAGCAGCACTGCAGCCAGAAATGGACAGTTTGAGTCCATAATAGTTTGCATTATTGCCAACCACAGACGAGTTTTGATCTTTCAGATCTCATTAGTGTGGCTCGTGTAGCAAAGAAAACGCAAGTTAGCGACTGAAGGCAAATTAGCAAAATCCAATGGTAGACTTCTCTTATTTACTTCTGCACTTTTTTTGGGTAGCTGACTAATTGGACTTTTGGTCTTCCGGTCGGGCCACCTCGGTGTGTGTCGAGATTTTTGAATTTTGCGCTATGTCTTCCCCAAAGCAGGATCTAATTATATCATGTATATATGTCCCCAATACAAGCTTATGTGCAACAATTTTCTTTAATGTTTCTTGTATCTATAGGACAGAATTAGTTAACCTCTAAAGTGTTTTGACTTGTCAGTGCATATTAACAATCCAACGCGTATAACCGAAATCTCTCAAAAAACAATTGACTATATGTTTGCACTAATTTTCTGAATCCCAAAACATCTTGTAAAGTTTTAAGCTCATCCATATCGGATCACCAAGCGGTCACATTGAAAATTTCTATTAAAAGAAACATAAAAAAAACGCAAAAAAGGAGGGGTAGAAAGATGATAACTTGTGGGCTGCGAATTTCTTCGAAAAACCTCCTTTCAATGCACCATATTAAAAAATTTTGCTCTAACAACCAAGTTTTTTGTTGGACTATTTTTCAAAGTATATGGATCAATTTATAGAAAGTTAATACAAAAGGTTAAAGAACCATATTATTCGGAGAGGCTATCAAATTCGAGTAATAAATAGAAAGAAAGCTAGTTAATTGTTAACAACCTTCGACAATGTAAAAAAAAAAACAAAAAGTTTCGAACTGACTGAAATTAGTAGGAATGACTTGAAAACCTACTAATAATAATAATAATATTAATAAATGACCTTATTGCAATTTGGATTTACAAAAGACGAAGTTGAAGCTTAGCTTCCTATCTCAACCTAATTTAATCTAGATATGGCAACTAACTTATCAACAAGGTAAATAGGGAGAGCTTTTGTGTCAAAAGCAATACACACAAAATTATGGAGTTCATGTGAACATTGAGATAATCTGAGCAATTTCTTTTTTAAATTTAAAGTTAGTAAGTCCTTTTAATATATTTGGAACCTTGTTTTAGCAACTGTAAACTTGGTAACTAAAAGATCTTTCATATTGTGATGTTCTATGCAGAGGTGGCGAAATCAATTGCTTGTGCCTTAGATCTAAATTATGGGCATCATACCTAAATTTAATTATCTGATACAAATACTGTGGATGTGTATTAAAGATGATTTCATTATACAATACAAGGCTATGGAGAAGCCTTTTTTCTTTCATAGAGAGCCATCTAATTTCCCTCGTATTTGCAGTCACGCCGCTATCGTATTTCTTAATACCACCGATTAACCGAACACAGCAGTTCTGGATACGCTGCATCCGCCTGTCATCTTGTTCTAAAAGACAAAGACCATTATGCTACATAATGTAAACTGAGAAAGAACCAAGCTATCACATAATAGCGTTTTTAGTTTCACATCCAATAAATTCCGCTGATTGTATATGAGTTTAAGATTACAACTGCACTATCGCTGATAAAATAACTAAAAACCTGAATACAGACGAATGTACACTTGCATACATGAATCATATCAACATTCAGAATAAATTTTCATTTTCGGCAACAAATATAGATCTTGTTTGTTAGTGCTTCAATTGTTTTCATTAGTGCTTTTTCCGTTTTCTGTATATTAATTTTTTTTTGTAATTTCAATGTCAGTCCTGACAATCTGTCAAAATGAATGAAATTTGTTGTTTTAATGCTTCGTTAGTGCTTCCAATAGTTTCGAAAGTGCTTTTCTAATTTCTTAGATATTTTAGATTTTAGCTTCAAGGTCAGCCCCCAAAAATTTTTTGAATAATGGCCTTTTGCATCGACCCTTTTAAGGAAGCCTTAGCAATAAGTATCCCTTAAAGTGACATTTCTCCATGTAAAAATGTCATCTTGAGGAATACTTATCGCTGAGGCTTCCTTAAAATGGTCGGTGCAAACGGCCATTACTCAAATTTGGTGTCACTTTTTAGTGCTTCGTTGGTGCTTGTTATTGCCTCAAACAGTTGCATTCAAGATTATTTCCTTCTTGAGATATTCAACTTTAAATTTTCAAGGTCAGCCCTTAAATCATATGGGATTGAGTTCAATCTAGAGTCGTTTTTTTGCGCATCATTAGTGCTCTAGATAGTTTTCCTAATGCTCTTTCCGTATTCTGACTATTTGGTATATTTTATTTTAAAATTAGCACCCAAACTTATTCCAAATGTACAAAAAACACAGGACGCCACTGAAGCAAACATCGGTTTAAAAGCTGCTTACGATCAAGCACTTTTCTTACCTAAGTTAAAGTTAGTTTCTTAGCTGAGCTAAGTTGGTTGATCGTACGCGCAATGCATATCTCGTTATTTTGTATATGTGATCTGTTCCATCGACTGGTATATTTAAACTTATTATTTCCTCGTCGTTTAATTTAAAACTGACTTTGAAAGTTTCATATTCAATTTTGTGCAATGGCAATAATGAATAATTAATTTCATTAAACTAAACACCTTTTCAAAGTTCCTTTTCCAACGACCAACTTTCAACAAAACAAAAATAAAAAATATAACCTCAATTTAGAAATTATTAAACATCAAAAATTCAAAAAATACGTACTTCGCGCCAACTTAGGTCAGCTAAGTTATCTCAGTTAAAAATCCGGGTGTCTTAGCAGGGGTAAGGGAGGAGGGCAGATTCTAACTTAGTTGTGACAAATCGTACGCGCAACTTAGTTAGATTCTTCAAGTTAGGGAAGAAAAGTGCTTGATCGTAAGCAGCTATACTATGGAGGAAAGGTAAGGACTCTCTATCTCTCTCTTTTAGTTGCTTTGAGAAGCGCTATTTTTTAATTGGGCGCTGTTTTAGCTGGCGCTGTTTTAATTGGCGCTATTTCGTTCAGACGCTGTTTTAAGTTGCGCTTTTTTAGCATCTCACTCTCACTCCGGGGTAACTCGCCTGTTTTAAACAGAACGGCTCTGCCATTTAGCGCCAAATAAAAAAGCGCACTTTACAAGTTAAAAAATGACGAAGTTTTAACTGTCTGTACCTCGAAAACAGTTAAAGACTGGTACCTATAGGTTTCGTGCACATGACGTCACGACTTTGGCATTGGAGGTAAATTCAACCTTTCTTGTAACAGTTCATTTTCACTAAGCATTAAGATCATCTTTTTCGTTATTTTATTTTTCTGTATTTTGAGATCGAGGTTTCCAAATGTATACGTAATCCTATGTTAGTTTTTCAAGACTTATGTCCGTTTGCACCGACCATTTTAAGGGAGCTTAAAGTGACATTTTTACATGTAAAAATGCCACTTTAAGCGAGAGTTAAAGAGTGCCCTCTACTTTTCCTCCATAGTATGAATCGATGTTTGCTTCAGTGGCGTCCCCGTGTTTTTTGTATATTTGGAATAGGTGCTAATTTTGAAATAAAAAGTACTAAATAATCAGAACACGGAAAGGAAAACTATCCAAAGCACTAATTAGTTATTTATGTATTAAGGGAATTATGCGGGTGTTAATACCCCAGGGCAAAGTTACATAGATAATTATATTTCCTACTAAATTTACTGTATTTTGTCCATTTTTATAAAGGAATAAACCATAAACCAGAATTTCTATTTTTTCTCAAAGTTTTACCTATCCAAGGTTAAAGCGGGAGTTATAAAATCCTTAACTCTCGCGCGGGAGTTAAGACCCTGTTTATGATTATCGTAACCAAGGATAATTCAGTAGGATATAAAAGCACCAACGATGGGCAAAAAAACGACTCTAGATTTAACTCAATCCCATATGATTTGAGGGCTGACCTTGAAAATTTGAAGTTGAGTATCTCAGAAAGAAAATAATCTTGAATGCAACTGTTTGAAGCACTAACGAAGTACTTACAAGATATTTATTAACACTTTCAGGGCCAACTTCACGGACCTGAGGTTTTGCCATGTATTAGAGATATTAAAAATCAGAATTCATGCAGAGAGGATGCAATCTCTGCAAAAATATTTCTTGCTCTCCCGCGGCCTGTACTTCAGTGTCTGGCAGATGCCGTAAATTTCTCCTGGGAGTCAGGAATGTTCCCATTTGAGGTAGGTCAAGGGGGCAAAGGTCATTATAGTCCACAAAGGTTGCGAAACAAATAAGGAATCCAATCAAAGACCCATTTCACTGCTCTCCACATTATCAAAGATCATCAACTCGCGAAAAAAAAAATTTTTGGCTTTCTTAGTGGACAATAACATCCTCAGCCCAAACCAATTCGGCTTTCAGGCAGGACGGGAAGGGCACCAATGATGCGATCTTTGAGTTTCTTGAGAGCGCTTACACGTCCCTAAATACTGGAGTGGCGGCAGCCGCAGTTTTCTTTGACTTATCCAATACTTTGATTATGTAGATGTAAGACTGCTTTGTCAATGAGATTCCCATCTTTGATAATAAAGCTTTTTCTGATTCTGTGAAAAGCAAAATGTTGTCTAGTTATACCGTGCTCATGCCATATATGACTAATATTAATTTGCCCCTCTCATATCCAGAGAAAGGCACACAATTTCTGTGTAATTTTACATAATTGCTCCAGTTGCACAAAAATAAAGTGTAAGCTGTGACCGCGAAACTTTTTAGCGTTCTCGAGATTACCTTGCCTCGGTCGTAAGTTGTCTCGGCGATAACTTATCTCTAGCTACGCCTACAAGAAATTTCGCGGTCTTGGCACACAAATTATTATTATTATTATTGACTTGTTATTACCATAATGCGTAAGAAGAAAAAAAATACTCGCTTCAACTCCATTTTCTTTTATAGGTGTGCCAAAAAGAAGTACTTCGACTAGCTCTTTCCAATATGTAAGCACAGCGTACCATGGAAGTACTTTAACGCTTCAGCCAGAAACATTTGCAAGCTCCTTTAGTCTACGATCCACATCAAAAGGAAAAATTACAGAAGCAGAAGCTCCTCAGAAAATCAAGTTATTTGACGTCACTTTACTGAAAGATCCTCTATACCTTATAATTTTAATTTCAAACGCTACTAACGCCATAAGTTATACAAATTTTATTATTCTTCTTCCTACCTATGCGCAGCATTTGGACTTTGATAAAAATAGCGGTGCGCTTCTTTTGTCAATAGTCAGTGCTTTAGATTTGGTAGGTCGGATTGGAGGATCAGCCTTATCTGACATAACAACCTTTCCAAAATTCTATTATTTTGTCTGCGGACTTTTCATCTCAGGTATCTCATTAGCTTTAATGCCATTTGCCCACAATTATTGGATTATAGCTGCGTTTAGTGCAGTTTTTGGTTTGGCATCTGGAACTTACGTGGGCATAACCGCTATTGTAATGGCAGATATGCTGGGCGAAGAACGTTTACAATCATCCTATGGAATCTCTTTATTTGTCAATGGAGTTCTACAATTAGTTGGTCCTCCATTGTGTGGAGTATGGTTCGAAAAAACCCAGTCTTTTGTATCACTTTTTTGTAGTTTAGGTATAATTTTATCTGTTGGCTCTTCTCTATGGGCATTTGTTCCTTTTATGAAGAAGAAGGCTAAAGTTGTCCAGAACGTCAGTTAAAATACCTTACCATAACTTTACTTATATAATATTAGAGCAAAGCATTTTATGTAAGAAGGACTCGAAAAATAGAATATTCTTATTCTCATTCAATAAGTATTCAATGAAAATTTAATTTTAAGATTTCCAGTAGATCTATTTATTGGTCAAGCTATTTTAAATATATGCTTTTTCAAAACTAAACAATGCTCAATATTCAAATATATATCATTTATGTAAATATACACCTACCAATATACAGAGTGGGGACTTTAACTGGAACTAATTCACCCCTTTTAAAGGAGGGCGCACTATGGGCCAGAAACCCCTTAAAATATGGAAAAAGTGTTAAGTTATGTTTTATGATTTTTTTTCGCATAAAACGCTTAAAACAAACTAGTTTATTAATTTTTAAAATGTATTTGAAGCTTGTCTAAAGTTTGTTTAACGATGTTAAACAGCGTGTGCGAAAATAATGGCACCATATGAAAAACTTTTTTATTATCGACTTAAGCAAAAAAAGCTATCCTTCATGAAAAGTTTTGCATACCCTGGAAAGTCCAAAACTGTAGAAATATTACAGATGTAATGTACAGGGTCATAAAAAAATAGAAAATTGGTTTAGGTACTATTGTAAGAATAAAGTACCCCTAATTTAAAAGATATGCAAAATGTATTTAAAAAAAGTTGTTTAGAATTCAATTTTACGTCAAAATATAAAATCAGAGTCTCCTACACAAAAAATAATTTTCTGTATTTTTTCCTGTTCAAATGGGTTCGGCAACGACTTTTTATGCACCGTTTTAGAAAGAGGTTCGTAACTAGGCCACTGTTTAAAATTTGTTTATGAAAATTTGACAACTTTGCAGGAACATACAAACCTACCCACCTGCCAAAAATAATCAAATCACATCGAAAGTTATTAGCGATAAAAACTGTGGAACTTTAATATGTCCCACATTGTAGGTAAAATACTAGGCAAATAGAAACGTCAATAAATCAACAAGTTGCAAAAAGTTGCACAAACTATTTTTTTTAATGAAAAGTCATAAGGTCAAAGAAAAAAACTAGATATCAACAAATATGTATCCATGTGTAGAACATTCAGTTATTTTTGGTTAAAATAACTAAATATGTATTTAGTTGCAAACATTTGCACCAATATGTAATAATTCAAAATATTCTCGCATCACCAAATGAATGACAGAAAACTATAATGGCTTAAAAGAATCATTGACTTACCTGCTTGAAAGTTATTCATCACAAAATATTTTGTAATTCGCGAACAACAAGTTTTGACCGGTTATAACATGCAACTTCTTGATAAGATTGATTAATAACTGCTAACAATAACAAATACGTCAAACTTTTGTACGCGTTTACGAGTCTCCATGGCAACGCATCAATAAGATTCGATTGTTTTGGGATGATCCATAGCCTACTTAACCATAATTAAAAAAAAATGCGAAGATATTTGCAGTTTCATATTTTTGAATAATTCAATATTTCAAGGGGTTTCTGGCCCGCTGTGGGGCGCGTTTTTTTTTCAATTAAAAATTTTCCATCACACCAAATTAAGAAATAAATTGTACAGCTGATTTTCTTGCAAAACTAGCTTTCCAAAAAGTTGCCACAAGTGGTATCATCTAATTTTAAAAAATCAATTGGGGTAAGATTTCACCCTTTAAAATGGCTGATTTTTTGTTAACGTGATCTGCAATCTCTAAGGGTATTATATACAGTAGTACAGTAAACCCTATTATATATAAAGTATTATATCTACAACCGTGAGGTAATGGAGATGAATATCCGAAAGAACTTAAAATTATAGGAAACAAAATTGCGTCTCTGGCTGGCTGTCTTTCACGTTTGACAGTAGACGAGTAGAATTTCGCTCGCGTCGTTCGGTCAACGTTACCGCACACTATGATGTGAAGTAACTTTACCGCACACTATGCAGTCGACTTTACCGCACACTATGCGATAAAGTAGCTTTACCGCATAGTGTGCGGTAAAGTGCTACTTTACACATGCTAATAAATGCGGTTAAGTGCACTTTATTGCACGCTCGTAGGTAAAATTATTATAGAGCCACTGGAAATATTTGAACTCGCCTAGTATTTTGAAAGCAGCATCAGCTAATGATTTATAGCAGTTATTTGACCAAAATGCTGTTATTTCGATCTGGCGTAAACTTATTTGCATACAGTTTAGATAGAAAGTTAGGTATATAAACATAAAACAAATCAGTCTTTATTTAGTTATATTTTAAGAATTTAAAAGCAATATAACAATAAACTTATATTGCTCGAGAGAGCTCAAGAGAACTCGAGAAAAAATCGATCTCTCGTCTTGTCAGCATCACTAGTTAAAGTCCCCACCCTCTAAATGGTATATGAGCTAAAAACTTTGCAGATTGGCAGAGAGCATTTAATATTGGTTACCTAGATATAGATTATAATAAACTAAGATGGAATAGAAATAGCGAAAATAATTTGCCAGTAAAATTAGTTTTTTTTTTCGAATAATAGGTACCTATATTATTTATTATACATAATTAAAAATGTAACATGGCTATTGTTTATCCCGTATTACATTTATTTATCGTAACTGCCAATCAGAATTTGAAGGAAGCAGAATCACAAATAAATTTTGATACAGGCACAGAGAGAATTTTAAATAATATTTTGTGTATAAGTATGTATTTGACTGAATAACCTAATCACATTTACAGCGCCACTTAAAAGGTCTCAATTTTTTTTTCTTAATCGGACTAGCTTAGGTATTTCATTAGGTGTACTTATACTTTAAATTACATAGTCAAAATTTTATAATTTTTATTTAAGACATTCTCACTAATTATTATTCTTTTGCTTAATAAAAACTATACAGGGTGTAGGTACAAAGAAAGACACCCAGAGTCTCATCTATTTCGACTGCTGAAGGCTCGGCTTAAGGTATACTTATATGGGTAAATTTTTTCAATTTTTTGTTTAGAGTAAGTCATTTGTTTTTGAATGTATTTTTGCAACGCCAACTATTGACAAAAAAATGTACATTTATGTTTTATATAATAATTGAAGAAGTAAATTAAGGTTAATAGGTAGGTGATACCTAAATGGGTACTTATCTAGATGTAACTATTTATCATTTAAATATGTATACTTACATACTCAAATATTGTTATTTGAGAATGTGATAGGTTAAATAACACAAATAGGAATAAAAAAATATACCTACAAGTACATGTAAAATATTTGAAGTTTTCTTAAAATTTGATAGGTACCTACATATCCAAGCCATAATTTGAAAAAATTGATGCAAGATTTTTTTCACCTACCCTAAACTATTTCTCTCCTTTCACAAAAACCTTCTATTTTGGGATGTTTCTATTATACTTCCAATAAAATACCTATAAATATTAGGTATGTTTTCCCTTAAAGTAACATACTCTCCACGTGTTTCACTTTACCAAACAAAAAAGTGACTAAATGCTACGTTTTTGAATTTAAATTGAGCACCTGGAGGGCAAAAGTCATTGTTATTGTCTACAATTGATTGCCGTAAAGGCTACATTCCGATGACAGTTTAGAATTTTGTGTTTAAAATTTATTTTTAGATCTTTTCAACATTTCGTTAACTAATTATTTTTCTCGATGAATACTTCTATAAATTTCCAGATATACAATGAAGCGAAAGTGAAGACAGAGCCGCAGGTAGGTAAAACAAAATTTTTAATACTTTATGCGAGTGTACCACATTTTGTTTTAATACTGATTTTGATGGTGCCTTCTTATGCTCCATCCTACTGGATACTTAAGGGTCTATCTGAGTTACAGAAAATATTGGAGTTGTGGAAAAGTCAGAATACTTAATTATTAGAGGAAAGGCACCAAATTTGAGATAGGCGCCTAATTTGAGATAGTTCTCTAACTCCTAATATATGTATTGCCATCTCGTGAAAATAGCACAAACTACATAAATGTAACGTACTTTTCAACCTACAGCATTTTTTAGTTTCTTCTCGGCCATTATTCGGTAAGCAGGTGCACATATTGAATTTTCTACCTCTGGAGTTTTTTTGGCGTAGTGGAAAAACAACAAAAAAATCAAGGTAAAATAAAAGCAATGCGATATTTGGGGAATAAGGTCTTAGGCTTAGGTAATGTTAAGCTCTATTATTTCATGACAAAATTTTCCCTTAATGTTTCAGACCTAACCTGGAAATATTTTTTAAAGTTTTTTTAATATAATTCCTAATTTGAGATATCTCATGGGTTCCTATTTTTAGAGTATCTCAAATTTGGACCCGAAAACATCTAATACCATTTAGGTTTTTTTGACTTTTAGATGCCACCTAAACACAAAAAATGGAATCCCAACGATATGATAAAAGCAATTAATGCCGTAAGGAATAAACAAATGGGCTATTTAAAAGCGTCCAAAGCTTTTGGAGTACCTAAAGGAACCGTGGAAGGGTACGCAAAATCAAATAAAAGTCCAGAAGAACTTGTTGGGTTGTCGATTGGTCGTAAGCCGGTTCTCTCACCAGAGCTCGAAAATGAGTTAGTTCAGTATGCCTTATCAATGGAAGAGCGCTTTTTTGGCTTAAGGGCACGCGATGTAAAACGACTGGCATTCCAACTTGCTATCACCTACGTACAAAAAGTAAACTGTAGAACTGGAAAAGCGGCGATTATTACATTGACTCCTTATAAAGATGACCTACAAGAGAGCTCAGAAAAAAGAAAGAAGAAGCCAGTACCCAAGAGAAACCTAGGATCTGCTTTAGAACCAAAGTCTTCTTCTAAACAACAAAACTTACAAAAGAGGTCAAATAAAACTCAACCGAATAAGGATAAAATAAAATCTACGGAATCCGATATTAACCAACCGTCTTCATCAGGTATTAAAAACCTAAAAATAAAATCAAAGCGTAAGCGTGCTGACTCCAGTTCAAGCTCAGACAGTGCTGAAAGTGTTGAATTTAACGATTCTTCTTCAGACGAAAGCGGTGGCAGCGACGCTGAGTGCTTATTTTGTATGGGTCGGTACTCTGAAGATAAACATGGGGAAAAATGGGCAAAATGCAACCAGTGTGGTAGATGGGCACATGAAGACTGTGGCGAGATAAAAAGTGACACTTTTATTTGTTCTTTTTGTGAAGGAAGTGGGTTTTTTGAGTAGTATCTCAAATTAGGCATGTGTCTCAAATTTGGACCCCCACATGTCTCAAATTAGGAATCCTCTTTTTGTTTTTAAAAAATGTACTTTGTTTTTAAAACGGCGTTATTTTTAGAAAGGATAAAATTAATTTTATTTTTTTCATTACCAAAGAATTGGACAAAGGTTATGTTAAGTTATTTTCCAGGAAATACACTATTAATTTATTGTTATGATTTTTTTGGATTTTTTTAAAAAAAATGTCTCAAATTTGGGTCCTTTCCTCTATACGAAACACTTTTTTTTCTGTAAAAACACAGCAAAAACTAAAAACCTTTCACAACATGACATGACATATTAATTAATTATGACAACTAACTATCTGGTCGTGTCTAACAATAATGTCCTAACCTAAACTCCTCGATTTACAAATTTATCCTAAAATTATACAACAAAAAAAACTAACTTACACTAGAAAGCTAATATCCAAGTAATTACACTTCTAACATTTCTCAATTTTAAATAACGAGCAGTAATAAATTATGTTTCCTTACATAAGGCTTTTGTCAGGATATCAGCAAATATTATTTTCATTGTTAACATTTTACATCCAAGATCTTTTTCGACAGCAAATCTTTTAAGAACTGTTCTTTAATGTCAATATGTTTCCCGCGATTTGAATTTTAGTACTCTTAACCATCGAAATCGCACTCACTATTGTGCATTTTTAACGTTACACTTCCAAGTTTGCAAAATGTTATCGTTGCAACTCCTCAATGGAAGGATGAGAGTCATCAGGAGGAAAGCGAGATGTCAGTTGTACCTACCGTCGTTGATTGTTGTACTCTACAGTCACGTTTGAAATGTCATTTTTTCTCTACAGCGGTAACATTCGGTGCTCTGCGCGCTCAAGTTACCTATTGAAGGCTGAGATTTATTCAAAGGAAAGCGACTTACTCTACAATCACGGCTAAAATGTCCTTCAGTGCCAGTTTTCAAGTTAGTTCCCCTGTTTGATTCTGATGTTAACATCCATCAGTGATTCTTGGGCGAGTAGTTCCTTCATCGGATCTTTAATCATTTCTCCTACTGGTTCTTTTTTCTTCACTGACATAGCTATTGCTTCAGATATCTCATAGGCCGCCTCGATTTCCAGGGCTTTTATCAAAGTTTCGCGGCTACTTCATGGTTTGCTTGCATAGCATTCTCTGTAAGTCCATATCTCTAATAAAGGCCGGGACACATCTATCATGCATTCATCCGATCCGACTCCGATCATAGAATCAAGGTCCTTTTTCTTGGAACCGGGGAGCAACGGAAGCCTCGTTCTCCAGCAGGGAACGCTGCTCCCTGTTCCAAGAATAAGGACCCTGATTGTATAATCGGATTCGAATCGGAAGAATGCATGATAGATGTGTGCCGGGCGTAACTCGAATTATGAAGTCTTCCGGCCCCTCTAGTTGTTCTCGTATTTCTGCTGTGCTTCCGGGTAAGCCAAATTAACCAGATGGCGAATATCAGTTTCAGATTCTTGAAGGCTTTCTGCAGCTTTCTGTCTTGTTCTTAACTGTACCTGGTAAAGGTGCCGTTGGTGTTGTCATAATGACATTCGGACGCATCAACAAGCGATCCATAGTTTAGGCGGCACTGTTTCTGATAGGTATCAGGGCCAGGCAATGCTACAATCAAGCCTTTAGCCATGTTATGGGAACTCCAACCACGCGCCATTTCAACAGTTTCGAACTGACGTCTGTACCTGGGCCACGATGTCTGTCCGGTGTGTGGTGGTGTGGTGGCTTAATTCTAAAAAATAGCAAAACATAAAAATTAAAATATGGCAGATCAGCGGCTGCTGGTGCGATAGTGCTAAAGTACCTACATGAAGCCATGCCATTACCTTATTTTTCACAGAAATGTTTCAAAGTTTTATAGGAAGGATATAAAACCTTTTTTTTTCAGAAAAAATAAGGTCGTGCCATGGCTCCGTGGCAGCGTGACACTACTTCAGCAGCCGCCACTTTAGGAGATACTGCAAACTATAGGTCAATCACTAGGGATCGTTGGTTTTTACATTCGCCCTTGCAGTTGGTGCATGCGGGTGTACTATAGCTTTCCGACACGAAAAACATCTGTTGGTCTCACATCGACTTTGAACATCCACACTTCGCTAATCCTCTTAGAGCTGACCAAATTTGTGGTAGCTTATTCCGTTCTGGCTCTCAGCGGTTGTTTATTAAAGTCCAACCCCATCCTCCGATAGAACAGGTTCACCGGGTGACAGCGATCGACTTCATATTCGACCGGCTTGATACGCAGCTCTTCTGTAGTGTTCCATTAGACTGTCTTGTAAGGGTGAACACATGGCTATTGGTCGTTCTCCACTACAAAACTGCACCTTTCTCAATTCATTCACTTTTTTAAGTTTGCTTTTTGCATCACAGGGTTGAATAAAAGCATGTTTAAAAAAAAAAAAAAACAGAAGACATCCTTTTTTTTTTTGTTTTTATTGTTTTAAACTGTTTAAAACATCCAAAAAAAAAGGCAGTGGATAGAGGTCCGAAAATTCGGATCTCTAGTGTTCATACTAAAGATCCGAGAATTTTCGGATTTTCAATTTGTATATTAGGGGTCCGAAAATGTGGATCTTTAGTGGTAATATTGAAGATCCGAAAATAGATGTTTATTTCTAATTCTGTCTAATTAAGGAGTATCGTCGCAAGTATCTACAAAGAATAATATTCGAGATAATTCTGTTTCTGCAGAAATCACAAACCAGTCAGAGTGAGTTTCATTGGTTGATACTAGTTTTCTGACTGTTTCTGACTGTTTTCAACCAATGAAATTTGCTCTGACTAATTTGTGATTTCTGCAGAAACAGACTTATCTTGAATATTATTCTTTGTAGATATTTGCGACACCATTTTAATGAAACTAGCCCAAGCACCAAACTACTGCAAAAAACCAATTAGAAGAAAAAATAAAAAGTATTAAATTTCCTTTAAAACCCAAGGGACATCAATTAACTGCAATTGGACTAAAAAGGTCTAAGAAAAATAAAAGTGTTTTATTCA